AGACTGGTGGTGTTCCTGTGGGTGATGTGACCCTCCTGTGACCCTATGCCCACAGAGGATTTCACAGACTGGATCAAGCTGCAAACATTTATTTTGTTTTATAGCATCCTTTCCATAATGCTGTCACACCTATAATAACAATCTGATGCAAGGATTACATATCGCGTAGGATCGTTTTGCAGCTGCACGCTGCAGCTTTCTCACTCAATACTGAACCAAATTCAAAACTTGTTTTCCCTATTACGCACATTGACACACAGAATTGAAAAATTATCCAGGCTGAAAAATACCAACGTTACCCTTTAAGCATGATGTTGATTTGCTGTATTCATCTACACACAACTTTGGGTTAGAATAGGGAGATGTAGCTAAATAATCTAAAACCTTACTTCTTAATATACAGTGGTTTAATCTTAGGAATGGGTTTTGGTCCTCTACTCAATAAGCAGAGGGGACCTAAATGTACAGATTGTGTAGCTTGACCTTAGCACAATACATGTTCTCGGTGATGTGTGATCCCTTTTGTCACCCGAAGTTCTATATTATACATTTTATTCCCATATTGCACATGTTGTCAGCATGCTATTATCGTACTTTTTACACACAGTACACAAGACACTGATGTTTGACTCATGCAACAATATTTGAAAATCTCGTCAAGCAGAACATCTTGGCCTGGATGTTGAGGGAAATTTGGTTCTGCTTACACCGTTCCCTCCTTTTCTTCCAGGAGTAGTTAAACCCTGGGACCACACTCCAAGCCTCTGACTGCTGCATCCACTTTGCAAATTTCCTCTGCTTTTCCAGTTGCAAATTATGGTAAAAGCAGCTGATTTGAGGCTTTCAACATAGCCTTGGAGGCGATGGTGAGTGGTGACACATGCAGATGCTCTCAGGCGGTTGTCGCACTAAGATTTCATAGGACTCTTGGACATTTTTACCAGGTGAACTCTCGGGTAAACATGTAGACATGCAGCATTCATGTTACATATTGTTATGTAGAAATTGCGGTGATGCTTGTAGTTGAAAACACATGTTCAGATTCTGGAAATGGGATTTGTTGCTCAAACTTGACATGAAGGTATATATTAAGGTTCTCCTTCTCAGGACTTTGAAACAACTGCTCTCATAAGTACTCTAAATCTTGACCTCCTAATGACCCTGAAAGACATCACATCCATCGCCACAAATAAGCCCAAGACCTTGTGATGACTTCATCCTGACATGCACTAATCTCATCTGCCTTCCTTTTCCTCTCCAGAGACTCAAGTATGCTTTGCCTTGCTGAACCACTTGCTTTTGCTTGACCTGAAGTCTCTGTTTCCTGAACACTGCCCAGCCAACAGGGGGAATAAAAGCTGTTAGTGACAACAGTTCAGCATAGTCAGCTCAGGCATTAGCGGCAAATGGCTTTCCACAAGCTATCAGAAACCGTCTGGCTAATTAAGTGATGATAGCTTTGGCTATCTGCTCATTCTGTCTACGCTGCTTTTTCCAGTCTGACTCTAAATGTGTTATGCCAGTATAAGGAAGTTTGCGTTTTCTGCTTCTGTGTACTTCTACTCCACCACAATTCAGAAAGAGACATTGTTCTTTTTACACTTTTACACAGCTATAGTTACTTGTTACTTTGCAGATTAAGATTTTATACACAAAACTTTTGTGTGCTTACACAATAAATTTATAAGATACAATATATCGTTTACCAGGATTATGTCTACCTGATATTGGCCTGAGACCCCTTACAAATAAGCAGCGTTGGGACCCCTTGTCACATGCTTCATCTCCACCAAACATATTTCTCCTCTAAATTTCTTAGATGGTTTCTTGTAAGTGATTGTTCAAGACTTAAAGAGATAAAATGATCCAATATTTCACAAGAAAGCAAAGATTAAAGGCATTTAAAAAAATATATAGAACAAAAGGATATTTATAGAAATTTGCTTTCTTTCCAAGAATTACATGAGAAGATTGATACCCTGTCTGTGCAGTAAATATGTGCCTGGAGCCAGTAGCCAGTTCGCATAGCATAAAAACTGGAAACAGTAGGAAAAAGCTTGCCTGGCTCTTGTCTTCGTGCTAAGCTTAGAAAGCCAACTGCTGTCTACAGCTTTGTAGTGAATGTGCAGATGAGTGAGTGGTATTCATCGTCTCATCTAACTCAACAAGCGTGTTTCCCACGATGTCAGACCATTCCTTTGATGCTGTTAGTTGTAGTTCATGTTTTTGCATGGTTGTATTAGTAATTTCACTTAAGCAGATGTCTCACAGCTGGATTATGCAGCACTTTTGTTTCTTTTGTAGCATCTATTCGACCTATCACACACATTATCATCTTAACCAAATCATGACTGGAAATGATATCCCATTTTCATATTTCAGTTGTCATTAAAATGTATTGCAACACCCCTAATGTATGTGCACAAACACACTGCTTGTCTGCAGTGTTAGTCGTGTCCCCTAGTGAGTTGTGCAACATGATGTGTTTCCTCTGTGGGAGAGATTTATATCAGCCGTCTGACAGCTGCTCTGTCCCACACTAACACAATATACTTCAGCTATCTCTTTACTCTTCTTGCCCTCTTTCTCTCATTGCTTTTCTTTCACCTCTTTTGTGTTCCACTCTCACCCTCTTTTACATTTTAGTACATCCCTACATCCTTTAAAAATGTCAGACAACAGTTATTTGATAATGAATTTAAGCAATTTTACCAAAAAGCCTTTGTAACTTTGTCCTATGAGTCATAAATCCAACCATGTCCCTCTTTTCTTAATTATATGACTTTGCTTTCAGTCATAAAAATGAGCCATCGTGATATTAGACATCAAGACAGTTTTCGAAAGGTACAATGAGGACTTGTTACACCGGATCAACTCATCTCTTGTTCTCCTTCTCCCTTTTCTCCGCCCTATTGATTTTCATATAAATAATATCCAGTTAAAGCTGATACCGTCATTTCTGTCTCCTCTCTTTTTTGTTCTCTTTTTTCTCCTCAACCCCCTCGTTCCTTGATTCTTTGTCTTCTACTCTCCTCACTCTTATTCATCTTCTGCTTTTTCACCACTCCACTGCTTTCCTCCTCTTCACTCGTCTGTCTTCCGCTGCTTCTCTTCTTCCGTCAAGTCCTTTAAATGCTCTACTAAAAGTTATTTTATGGGTTTATATGCCTCGTTTGAATAAAACATAACAATCTAATGCTCAGAGGCTAGGGAGTATGAGTGTGTGTGTGTGTGTGTGTGTATTTAGGTGTTGCTTCTTTTTGTAACAGTAGGGGGCACTGTTGCTTCTTAAATGGTGATGTGCACACAGATGACAGCAATTATGTCATTGTGGTAGGAGGAGGCTGATTTCTTGATACAGTAGGTGTCATAGAAACATATTTAGTATATAAAGGCAAGTTGTCAGTGGAGTAAGGTTTCAGGTCACGCCAGACAGGCCGTGATTTATTAGGATCGGAGCAGAGCTATGAAGAGATTTAAAGTCGTGTGGAAGACAGGAAATGTGGGAAGAGGATGTAAGGCTGTGTAAAATTTAATTAAAACATTCTGAGAAGGGATTTTCATCACCTGAGCTCACGCAGGGCTTTAAGGAATGGAGGCGGAATGAAAAGTAGAAAGTGCCCTTTATCTGTCTATATTTGATCTAATTTACTTGTAATTATTATAAAGGTGGTGTTTAAATAGAGTCGCTAATGTAGTCAGGAGGGGAGGTCATGTGGCAGCTTGGTCCCTTCACCTGCTCCTCATTACTGCTGCTCTTGGATGTCATGATCCTGTGAAACCAAAGGGAAGACATCATCTGTACAGCACAACAACAACATATATCCTTATTAGTAGTATTAGTATTAGTTAGTCTTTCAGTTAATTGGGAAAATAAGAAAGCAGAGGCCTTAATGTTGTTGTTTTTTGAACATATAATTGAATTCCATGGCACCATGTTTCCCCTTCTTGTTCTGATTAACATTTTTACCCTTATGTTACTGAACCGCACCCTAAGACCTCAGCTGGACCCTGTGGAGCCTGATGCCCACCTTCAGTACAAAATGGATGTCACCCTGTATATATTATTTTCCTAAAGAAAAACAAAATGTCTAACAAACCTCTCTAACTAACCAGTCTAACACATTTATTTTGTGGTAACTTAATAGCTATAGAAGTAAAAGTGGTAGAAGTAAAAATAGTAAAAAGTCCTAGTGATGTATTAATTTGGTAAACGAATAAAAAACATAAAGGAAACAGCTGGTACGCACTTTGAATGTCAGACAACAATATGCTGCATACACCTCAATCAATATAAAAAATCATGCTCATTCATGTGTACGTGTTTCTAGAGCGCAAGTGTGTGATTTCCGACAGCCATGAAAGCACCGTTCCTCCTGCGTCATCAGGTATCACAGAGGCCCCCCTCACCAGGAAGTGCTATGCCGGAGAGCTCTTTGCTTTTGTTTTGACGATGATAGAAGAGGAAGAATTTGAATTCGCTGAGGATTTGGAGGCTATTTTGCATCTAACCCCTGAGGTGCAACTAGCCATTGAACAGGTAGCCGTTTCACCTCGTTACTATCACAGTTAGTGAAACATTGTAGCTCGTCTTGCTGACACACGACCAGCTGTTAGCAGGCTCACTGGATGTCACACTGCTCTTATTACGACCGCTAGCTCTAAAACACTGGTCTCCCCACTTTATTAACAGTGTTCGACGTACAAAAACGTTTCGTCAGATGATTTAAACCTTGTGGCAACGTTAAAGTGAGCAGGAAATAATGCACGGCGTCAGTTTACGAAGCTGTCTTTCCCTTTTACCCTCCGGTGACCGTCGTGGTGAATGTGAAGGATACCGTCTGTCATTACGTTGCACACAGCTCATTTACCAACATGTAGCAGGTTGTCAGTAGTTATTGGCCAGAGCTATTTCAGAAAGCCACCGAGCAATGTTACAACGCATCGCCAGTTTGCATGTCGAACCCAATACAACATCAAATATTTACCGTAACGCCGCCAGCCATGACTGACTGATTGAATGTCGTTTGCCTGTTGTGTACAAGGTTTTCCCCAGCCAAGACCCGCTGGACAGAGCAGACTTCAATGCTGTGGAATACATCAACACACTGTTTCCCACCGAGCAGGTACAGTGAAGTGACACACACACACCTGCAGCCAGACTGACATACACACTGATACCGATAGCTGACTTATATAGTGGATTGTCATATTATGTCTTTGGTTTATTATTTGTGGTTTACATCAATTTAATCAGCCTTTTTTTTCACCTTAGATATTTTTGACTTGTCACAGTAGGCAAAGCACAGGTGTTAGTCGTACTTTAACATTAACAATAACCCTGCTCTCAGCTGTTCCAGTGAGTCACAATGACAGTGTGACAGTGAGACAACATGCACAATACCTGTCACTGAAGCATGAAATCATTGATGTTATATGTTAAGCCTTTGTTTTCTTTCAGTGACGTCTCAAAATGACAAAAATGCCTCTTGAGCTTTGGTTTGTGAAATATTTGATGTACCTAATAAACCACAGAAGTTACACAGATTGAAACCATTTATCTGTGAATGGATGAAAATGGATTTTGTTTTATTCAACAGTAATAATAGAATATAAGAAATAGAAATAGACTTACAGGAAGCCTCTACAGCCAAGGGAAATGACTGTAACAGATGTAATGTACTGTATATAGGGTGTCTATCTGGCTGGCGGTAATTTAATTTTCATTCCCTAACCCTGTTTAAAATCAAGGCTTACACACATAACAAACAAATGGATAAAACAGATTCAGAATAAAAGCAACCAAATAGACAAACAGCCTATGTATACATTTATGTGCACGTGTCAATGGTTGTATGTACTGCACATGCCAGTGTATGTGTTCATATGCAGGCGCAAATGTCTGTGAGTGTGTATGTATTTGTATTTATTTTATATATACAGCTATATATATACAGCCTACTTATTCCATATACATCTCTATGTATACTCTGTCTCCATGAGGTGTCACTGTAACCCTATAGTTTGTGCTTATATACAGAAGGGCTCCTACTAGTGTGCCTGTATTTTCACCTGATAGGGTTCTGTGTGTTATAATTCAACCGGTGGTGGGTCACAACTGCCCTGCATTTGACATGAAGATGTAATTGTACAGATTTGTATAATTTGAAGCTAAGTCATCCTATCAGAGCTGGGTTTTTTGTGTAAAATATAGGATCAACCGCACAATACAGAAAACAGCAGGTACCAGAATGATATAATAAAGGGTGTTACTCATAGAAAAGAGTGTGTGGGAAATCTGTCTTTCCTCATTCTCCCCTAACGTATTTGACCTTTAAGCCACCCAGACAGCTGCAACGACAAAGAATGTTTCCTTCATGTCAATCATTATGACTTTTTAGGATGGTTGACAAAAGCTTGCTTCATGTTTACCTGATTTCCTGTCTTCGTATTTCCTCTCAGTCTTTGGCTAATATCGATGATGTGGTAAACAAGATTCGTCTGAAGATTCGGTGAGTTCTTGTCATGGACCTAATTACACACGTCTTGTTTTTGTTTTATTTTACCCTCAGTGTGACTAAGTGCCATTTTATGTCACATTTAATAGGCGCCTGGATGACAACATCAGGACAGTGGTGAGAGGCCAGACCAATGTGGGCCAGGATGGCAGACAGGTGAGTTGAGCTGCAGGTCATAAAGGAACATACTGCAGTGGTTTGACAGAATGGAACAACTTTGAAATGGTTTTTCTGTAATGGATATTATCAGCTAGAAAAACTTTTTTTATATCAGTTCTATGTTTTATTAGGTATCAGTTTTTAATAATTTGTAGAAAACACAGCATGTAGATCTTGCCCTAACAGGGGAGATGAACAACCTCATTTGCACATTACACATACACACCACCAGGCCTATTCATCACATGCAGAGTTCAAAACAGCATCCTTCTCTTGATGTTAGAATGGTTTCCCAACACAGAAAAACATGTTCTTCCCGCTCGCCTGCTCTTTCCTCTCTCCGCATTGCTTCCATGGAAAAGGATAAGATGACTCAGAACCATTCCCCCTGCTCAAACTGCCCCTCTTTACGGAAAACACGTCTGGGAAATAGATTCCCGTATGTAAATACTTAAATTTCTTTTAAACCCAGGCTTTTGAGTCTTTGCCTTTTCTTGTGGGAGCATGACGGAAAAGAACAGCCCATGGTGATTTAATCCAGGTCCTTGCTCTGTCAAGGAGTTGCGGCTTAAAAGGAACGTGACACCTGATCGGTGAGCCGTGTATGTTCTGACCAGTTGACATGATTAGGTGTGCGTTGTCGTCAGGGTGTCTGGCCTGGTGGCCCTGTCTTTCCCAGTTAGCTACCGTTTGGTAGCGAAAACGCTCTAAATCCCCTCCAGACCAATAACATTATACAGTCACACACAATAATTTGAGTTTGTTTTTCCAGCCCCACAGTGCCATTCCAACATTTCCAGAGGGAAAATCCTTTCTGCAGACGGAAAGATGGAGAGGTGTTCATTTCAAGAGGGCGACTGAAACATAAAGACAGCAATAGAATAAAACCAACAAGATAAGCAATTTAGTCATTTGTGCTGTTGACCAAACTCACTCACTGAGATAAATGCAATCCCCAGGCTGAAACCCAAGATGGGTACCGTACGTTTATGAAGAAGGACGGCAGGCACAGGAGAGCAGGAGAGAGAAAGGCCTGGGGAATGATTTTTTTTTTTTTCTGTAGGGAGTCAGACAGTAATATGCTACAGGACTGAGAGTGGAAATGTGACTGTGTTAGTGGTCAGACCCTGGTGGCTAATAGTGCTGTTACTTGGCAACGAAAAATTGTTTATTTCATAAAACAAGGCAAGGTGATGATTTTTCATGGTGATGTAATGAATACATAACATCAGCATGACCTTAATTTGCCATGAGTCCATATAGCTTTTGCATGGGTGATTCGGGTGAATGAATAACCAGGAAACGCTGAAGCTGGCTATGGCATCACATTAAGACAGACGCATACTCGCATAGCCCCACGAGCCAAATTGGTAACCATACGACGGACTGCAATTCATGTGATCAGATGCTGTTTCCTAAAGTGCTGAAGATGAGGGCAGATGGTGGGAATCTCCTGACCAGTCTGCCTGTTCCATACATACATATGAAATATCTCTGTCTGGTTGTAGTCTGCCTGCCAAGAGATTCCCACCACACACAGTTTTGTACGTCATTCTCGCCTGCCCGTTGTCATAGCAATGTGGATACCGCATGCACACCTGCTCCACAGTCAGCTGAGTTCAATATCATAGTGTTAATGAAGGGTTATTTTTCACTACTTCTTTTTTTTCATTTTATTTTTTGTAGTGGAAACGAGGATGTGAAAGCATGTTGGTTGGAATCTATTTGTCAAAGTCTGAGTTGGAAAATCTCATTAACAAGACCAAACATTTGTTCTCAGTTACTGCCTGCCATTCATATTCTTGTTAATTGTTTGCTGAGCAACTTTCCTGCCATGTGAAAGCTGCTTTGCAGAGCGTTACGTACCCTAATAGTGAGGCTGTACTTGCTGCTTGCATGATTGGCAACCTGGCATTCACGCTTCTCTTTCTTGTATTTTGTGTGTGATTTGTGTGTGTGTGTGTGTGTGTGCACTCTATATGTCCGCTGTGGTATTAAGAGGGCTGTATTAGAAAACCGTGTTGGGTGGTCTTCCTATTGAATCGACATTAATGTAAATATTTAATGTTAACTCAGAAAAAGCTGTTCGCCACTTTAGTTTCCAGACTTTCGTCTTCACAGAGCTCTTTCTTACACTCTTTAAACTGTTGCTTTCTTTCTTCTGTCTCCCAATGTAGAGTTTAGCAGCATTTATAACCTTCTCAATTCTCAGTGTCTCAATTATGTTTAGTGACTTGTTCAGTATAGCCTATTAAATCTGACTATTAATCTGCAAACTCCAACTGTGCCAAGACTGTATTGTATTGTTTTCCCTACTGAACATGAAGGGAAAGTTCAACAAACATGGAATAGTGTAGTAGCAGCATAGTAGCATATTGCTCTTTATAACACAATGGATTAGAAAATGGTGCTCCTTTTTTGTCAGGCTTAGCTATGACAAAACATTTTTTGTAACTATTATTTTCTCTGTTAAGTGAAGTGTTAAGTGTTAACACTCTTCTCTCTAAATTGTCTCCCTAAAAATGTTTACATGAAGCATTGTGCTCAGGCAGTGTTCCAGCTGTTAAAATACCCTTGTTGGGTTGAATATATTGAAGTATTTGGCCCTAAACTCACAAGTACCATTTAATACACTCTCTACTTTAGAAAGCTACGCTGATGTCTGTCAGAGGGAGGAGTAAAGTGCATCCCAAGCCTCGAAATGAACTATGATATGGCCTATGTGTGCCATAGAACATGTGCTGCTTATTGCATGGTAGGGATACACCAGTGTGCATGTGCGTGTTTGTGTGAGAGCAGATAACATCTCGGGCATTGAGGCGCCTTCTGGGCAGTGGTCTCTCTCTGCTTTCCTCAAGGCTAAATACAGGAAATGAGCACTAGGAAGTGAGCCAGATGGACTCAGCTGAGTCTGCATGAGCGACAATTGCAGCCTTGGAGGTTTTGGCCTCTTTTGCATGCACTTTGTTTGCTCAAGAACTCCTCTGGGGGAACCTCTTTAAAGATTCAGTGGCACTCCCTTCCTCCTCACTCTCAGATCAAAGATTAATCACTTAACCTGCCTTTTGTTTTTCCAATTCATTTCTCCAATCATGTAAGAACCAAAGGGTTGTTTGAAGCGTGAAAAGAAAGAGGGATAAATGCAAGCTAGAGTCAGCTTTGCTCATCTTGATTGAAGAAGAATTCCTAGTGGATAAAGTTTTAGCATAGTTTAAGAACAGCCAGGTTAAAACTGCCCTTGAAGGGTTAAATGTCAACATGACTTTGTTGTGATTTTATGGCCTGGTCATATGGTGTAGTCTTGACTTTGACTATGTCTCCATGACACTGTCACCAAGCGCTGCTGTTCGACTACACTCAGGAAGGAAAATTAATCCTCTGCTGTCAGTGCAAGCTGTATTTATGTGTGTGTGCGTGCTTGTGTGTGCATGTTTTTGTGTGTTTCTTAGAGGTGCTTGTAAAAGTGGTAAATTCCTTGCACAGCTGGTGTCGGCTGTTAGCATTCCTTGTGTGTGTGTGTGTGT